TTTCATTGATTGATATTCTATTGAATTAACATTTCTTTCTAGTTGAACACAGAATCACGCAGCTTGCTATTAACTTCATATTGTCATTGGCAACCTGAACTTTAATCGATTTAAAGGTCGCGTATCGAATACGTGCCCTGTTGAAATGCCTTACGAATAATCTAGCCAAAAATAGCAATCGGTCATTGGTTCTGCTAGAAGCAAGATTGAATTGAGAGTATTGCATTACGATTGATTGCCTACAAATCGATATTGCCACATATTCTATACGGAGATGAAATAAACGAAAAGCACATATTATTCATGATATATCATCAATAATCAATAGTCATCTGACATTGAAAATAATCACGATCATTTGTTCATTCTTTTGTTCAATAAAAGTTATTGGTGTATATGTAAAGTTGGTGTATCACTTAACAGAAAATCATGAATTGTTGAGAGTTCTGATTTCATTTTCAATAGTTCTATAGTTTTCTAAATTAAACAAATAGTCTTCTTATTTCCTATTTATTGAAATTAAAACTATTAAAAATCGACAAGCAAGAAAGCTTTGCAATAATTGTTCAAATGATATAGCATCACAATTTAATCCATTTAATCCTACAATGATTTAAATTTATGTAAAAGTTTTCATCTATTCAATTTAATTATAAAAAATTAGATTCATAATTCGAGATCTTGTAACCACATCCGCGATTAAAAACCCTCAATAATCGCTACTCTCGTTAGAACTGGGATATTTTAATATTTGTTCGCAAAGAAAGATTTTTCATGGTTGCCATAGATCTGGAAAACTTAGAAAACTGCGAAAAATCATGGAAATTTAAATTAATAGAGAAAACTTGAAAAAGTCGGGAAAAGATGTAAAAAAAAAATCTGGAATTTTGAACTTTGCTCACAATTCCTTTAAATGCTCTTGTTTTAAAAAAATATTTATAATTTTTTCAACTTTTTTTATTTAATTCTTACTTCTTTTCTATTAATTACATTCTTTGTTATGTGTGTGTGTAGTAAAATTGTATATGTATGTATGTATGTATGTATGTATGTATGTATGTATGTATGTATGTATGTATGTACTGTATGTATGTATGTATGTATGTATGTATGTATGTATGTATGTATGTATGTATGTATGTATGTATGTATGTATGTATGTATGTATGTATGTATGTATGTATGTATGTATGTATGTATGTATGTATGTATGTATGTATGTATGTATGTATGTATGTATGTATGTACGTACGTACGTACGTACGTACGTATACATACACAATACTCATTTATTTTTTGTTGGATTGAAATTTGCATTCAAGATTATATTATGTTACTAGTTTTCTAAAATTTCATCTAATAATATAAGCTTTTCCCTGCTTCTAAAGGTAAAATTTAATATTGTTGGCCATGAAAAATCCTTTACTTTGCCTGTAAAACATGGAAAAGTCAAAGAATTTCAGAATTAATTTTCTGTGGAAACCCAGTCATTTCCTCATTTGATCCAAAGAGCAACTTCGATTACGTCTCCTGCGTAACGTAACTTTATGATCCGCGCATGAAGCGGAGATGTTACGCAAACATGCCGTAGAAAGTCGGACGATTAAGAGCGAAGCCTTCTCTTCGCGACGTCCGGTAGGAGAGTGAATCGGAGTTCCGTGAGGATTTCTCACGCGTACACATTGATTTACATTGGCACAAATGCGACGGAGATCGAAAACGCATTGTGTTATCTTTGCATGACATGAATCAAGAAATTTACGAGCGAACTACAGCACTTTTCTTTTTTGTGAAAAACATGGATTATCGGGCGAATTATAACGACGGTGTGGATGAAGCAAAGACGTCTTTTCATGAGGAAAACGCTAGAACTCGTTTTTGCCGTTGATTAAATAACACTTTTCTCGTCGTCGTTATTTCCTGCTGAACCGACGCGATTCCGGAAGCGAGATAATCATGAATTCACGATACTCGTGCAAGCAAATACAAGTCTTCCTTTCGCCAGGAAGAAATCGTGGATTGTTGACATCATAAAACTGGTTCATGAAAAGTTCGTTGTACTCATTATTTTCATCATGATTTGATTTAAAATTTAAATTTTAATTATAATGCCATAAAGCATTAAACTGCTTGATTAACAAGAAGAACTGTGTAAGATAATAAAATTTATATGTCAAGTGTATAGAAAAAAATTAGTCTTAAATCAAGACTACATTCACATATGAATGTGATCAAAAATGTTATTATTTTATCAGAAAAATTTTAGCCTTGATTTGATTGAATTTGCCGTTTGAATTTGTATTGGTACAAACATAGATATAATTTTTTATATAATTTGTTGGTCTTGAGCAAAAATAATACTTGCATCAATATAAATCGAATCAAATCGACTAAAATTTTTTGGGAATAATTGATAATATTTGTCTTGATTTAAAACTAATTTTTTTTCTTTGTGTGCATATTATATTTTTATATAAAATGTTGCCAAGTATCCTTAAGAAGATGCTAGACTTGTTTATTTTACTGACTGAACATATATTTCGTATTTCGCTAATTTTGTCGCTTTCCTTAATTTGAATGAGAAATCCTTTTCCATAATGAGAGAAAACATCAAAATAAATATGAATATATAAAACAATATGAAAAAACAAGAAAAATTTCTATACTACAATTTCCTGTTAGTGGCTACTTAAGCCACTTATTCACTTGATGTAAATAATACCAAGTGTGTATTCAAACAGAATCTATCCAATCATATTTATTCAATATATAAGAATATTTTAAGATAAGAATATTTTAAGAAGAATATTTAAGAATATTTTCAATATATAAGAATATTTTAAGACTCCAAAACATCATTTGGAAGTTTGTAGAAGAACAGAGGACGAACAGAGAAGTACTATCTGAGTGCTGATACATTATCATTTATGTGAAATTTAAAAAGTTAGGTTCATATGTATGCAAAAATATATATGTATGAGTGTATGTATACATAAATGCATCTATGTATGTCAGATGTGCAAATATGTGAACACTCTCGTCAGAGTTCGCTTGTTAGTCCAGCATCCCCTTAAAGAAAAGAGATACATTATGAGAAATAAATGAGAAGAATATCTTTAAATTCAAAATTCAAAAACGAAATAGATTAGTGTATATTTTATTTTAAAACAGCGATATTACTCGATATAGTTAAAAGATTAAAACTTACTAATCGATGTTGTGTTTTCAATACATTTGAATATTTTCATAATCTTTTTTTACACTAAGTAAATAATTTTTATAAAAATATATAATATCCATTATATTTTTATCATAACATCAACATGTACATAATTGTATTATTATATTTTACCATCAAAAATTTTAGTATATTAGAAAATAATGCATCAGTAATATAAAAATAACAAATCGTTTGAACAAAAGTTCTCTGAATTTGAACAAAAGTTCTCAAGATAAATTCTTAGAGACATGTATAAATTAATTTCAAATTACCCATTACGGCATAGCGATAAAATCAACGCCGACGTTGCAATCTTTCAGTACTTGTCTCCAAGAACATAAACGAGACACGGCACTATCCAAACGCGATAAAAGCGCTTGATGTGTCTCGAATATCCTATGATAAAATTCCAATCTCCAGTCTTGTAAAATCGTCAATTCGCGAGAACTTAACATAAAAAGATAGTCGAAGAGAGAATTCGAAATTGTATGTGTAATTTTTTTTGCACAAAGAAAAATCTTGTGAGGGGAATTTTAAACAACAATTATAGAAACCGATTAAACATCAATCTTCTCTATCTTCTTTATCAATGTTTAACAAGGCAAAAATAAATTACTCGCTAAGTACAGGTTGTTAGTAGATTGCACGTCAATTTAGAAAGCCACATTTGTACTCTATCACGATCACGATTTATTAGCCTGTGCCCACGTCAAATTCCGTTTCATTTTGTGTTTTTCGAAATCAGCTGGATGAATTATGTGCTGACAAAACGAGAAAATCGACTGAAAACATTCCGTGCATAAGATGAGAGCCCAGAGACTCTCTAGAGATCTCAACACGCTTAAGTGTGGCCTTGTGATTCGATCTTATCGCCATTGAAGCCGGGTGTATGTATCCGCTTATATAGGATGTCACGAACTCGCCGAAAAGATTTCAAGGCTCAAGTTTATAACGAGACTGCAACCTGAAGATGAAGAACCCTCACCTCATTGAAAAAAAAATATATGCCACAATTGAGTGCTAATTTCTTGATAATTAATTTGATTAATATACATTACTTGTGTGATTTTTATTTATTTTTAAAGTTATTTTATGAGCAATAAATTTGGGAGTAAGATATTTTGTAATTATTTGCTTTTCTCGAAATAGTTTAGATAATATCAAACCTCTATAATTATGTTTGACCATCTGCTCTTATACAATATAATAGGTGGTTGTTACATATAATAGTTATAATAGGTATAATAGTTTATAATAGTTCAAACTTTTGACATATCGCATTTATTAGAGTAAAAATTAGTAAAAGATTCTAACATATCAATTTTTTCGTTTACGATGTTTGTGTTTTCAGATATAACTACTAGATAATTACTAACATACTAACATAAAAACTTGAGAAATTAGCATCCCTATTTAGTCCTATCTATCTTTTGTTTTAATTTCCTACCTTTCGTCCCTCCCCTTCTTCTTCCACTTCTTCCTCCACCCACTAAACATGTTTAGCGCAAATCATGTCAGTATAAAAATAATGTATAATTTATAGTATGCACTCTGCGTGTATTATATATGATATATTACTCTTAATTATATAGTATATTGCTCTTAATTATATATTACTCTAATAAAATATTTTCTATATAATTTATTAATTAATAAATGCTTATAATTTTTGTTTTACCTAGTCTTGTTGAAGTGTTTAGTAAAAAAGATACACAATACTTTTGTATTAAAAAAATATATATGTATATATTTAATATAATCATAATTGTGTAAACCTTACCTTTTACAATTTCTCGCGGTATCTTCATCATCAGCCGGTGCTCCTGCTCCTGAATCCTGAAAAATAATAATTCTTATATACTATAAAAAAGTAAAAGATGATAATAAATAAAGTTTATATTTCAAGATTCTTATCTTAGATTTTTCTTCAAAAATCAAAGTTCAAAAATTAAATTAGTCTGACTATAATTCTTTGAATTATAATCTAAGAAATTATTAATTAATAAAATTAAATTTTTATTTATTTTCTATTTATTTGTTTGATTAATAATTAATTTGTTTGATTAACTTCTGCTACGAATAAAAAGCATTAATAATTTAACAATTAAAGCGCAATCGAACCGCTGCTTGGAAATTACATTAATGTTAGCTCTATGACAGAAAAATGCGTTTAAATTTTTATTCGTTCTCCAGAAGATAATTGAAACATTGTAACAATGATTACAAAACGTTAATAAATAAAGTTGTGTATACTTAAAGATGATGCTACTTCTATTAATGATACTTTTAAACTACCAAATAAGATTCAGTTATAAAGATTCAATTTAAAAATTTATTACAGTCATTTGACGAATTTTTATCGATAAATCAAACTTTGAAAAATAAAATAAAAATAAACTATAATTTCCTTTCAAGAATTGAATCTATAATTTACGATAAAACTTTTTATAGAGCATCAAAAGAAATAATTAATCGCACTTTGTGTGTCTTTGATTAATTTTCTTCAATTATATTTCTCCAAAACATCATAAAGATTGTTCATTGAAGATTGTTATAATTAATATTTTATTTTCAAATTTAAGCATAATTGATAGAGTTCTCAAAAAAATGAGAATTTGTGTTTTGAAAAAAGTCCTGAGAAATAAATAAAGATAGAGATATCAATTCAAGAAAAAAAAATGTCAATTCTATGTTTTTATACAAAAATTAGTTATAATTATATTTTAATCAAATTGATTTAATTTAAAGATTCCAATAAAACTTATACAGCGTTATTTAGAATCCGCTTAAAAAGATTTCAGGAAAAAAAATGTTCCTATAAAAAACTTGTACAAATTTTCTATCGGAAAATATAAAATTGATAAAATTCTTTGTGCATGTGAAGCTAATGTATCATTTGAACGTATCATGGAAATTAATGAATTATTGCAAGTTCTTTCTTCATTTTATTTTCAATAGAGACTTCATTTTCAATAGTTTTTCTATTAGTTTTTTTTTTTTATAAAACAATTCATTCTGGCCATTAAAACACAAAAACATCTTAGAATAAATGAGACGCTAGATGCAATATTCTCATTTTAACCGGGACGAATTCTTTTGATACTCACACACATTGTCAAATTTTAAAAGATTTATAGTTTTACATGAGTTTTAGAAGCAATTCTATCGAAAACATTATTTTTTTTAATTTTCATCACACGAAAAAATCGTCAATATAGATTTACATGATATGCTGATTTTTGACAATTTGATTTATTCTAAAATAGTTCTCGTATAGTTCTAAACATATGTTAACGTTTCCCAAAAAAATTTTGTTTATATCATTTATCTACTTTTTAAAAAATTCCTGTTGTTGCTCTATATATATATAAAAGAAAAAAAATTTGTAAGGAAATAATTCCTATCGTTTTTCTTCAAAGAAAATATTTTGTACACACGCTTTGAGACGCTGGCTGACAATTCTCGACAATTCTGTTAATTCCAAAAACAATTCTGAACTTATTCTAATGTTCTAACGTTTTCCAAAGAGGATATAAATTATTGATATAAATTATTTTAAAAATAGACCAAATTTATGAATGTTGATCTCATATGGGTTTGTATTAGTTTTTTTCTTTTTAAATAACATTATTTAAAAATTAAAAAAATCAATATTTTTGCCAGAATTCTATCTGAAACTCATTTAAAATTATAAACATTTTGAAATCTTACAATATCAATATAAAACT